ATTGTAAATCCAAAGATTTAAAAAAAATATCCAAACCAATCGGTAACAATGACTTCTTCCTCATCTCAACATAAGAACCAAGTAAGTTTAGTTTAGACTAAGTCACCACCATAAAAACTAATGATTATCTACATTTTCTTATATTCTATAATGAATACATATTCTTATGCAATTATCCCCCCAAATAAAATGTAATAGCTGTTAAATTACCCCCCACCAAATTCAAATTCATCCTACCCTACTATGCCCATCTTAAGGATTCACTCAAACTTAGCAAAAACTATAACTTAGAATTGAAAGTACAAACATAATACTATTAAAATGCCTTTTCAGCCCAAAGGGTGCTGTACTCATTCCAGCTGAGTTGGTGCCAATACGAGCACTACAGAGCTACTGAGTCTTCAGTTATATGAACAGAAAACATTTTCTCCTAAGACGTCCCTCAGTGGGCTTGTACTGAAAAACCTGACCTAATCTTACCTAACACATCTCACTCTTCCGACATTAAAAACTGACATACTTATCGAATCAGGTGAGGTGAATACGCAATAAATTTAGCTTTACTTATTTAGACCACAACCTCTATAGAAGCAATACATTATACAATTGTTAACATCCATTCAACTCATCATGCCTGTAATTCATAAGATAAGCCAGTTCTGCTAATTTTTTAAGACAGAAAAGAAATTAAGACCATTGGTCTTCTATTACCTCAGCAGTCTCTGAGGTCATTAACTCGGTTTCAGATCCCGAAGACGCCTGATCAGTAGGAACCAAGCAAGCATTTGAGCTACAAGTAACTGGAGAAGACGCAGCCTAGACACAGGAACATACAAAACATTGTAAGAGGCATATTTTGTTCATTTTTTATTTCTTGGGCCCAGAGCTCCCTAATATCATTCCTACTGAATAGGCACCAGCCAAACACTTGACATATATTAATACATTTAATCCTAACAATCATCTTGTGAAGTCAGTATAACTATCCTCATTTTATGGACAAACAGGCAGAGGCAAAGAAAGGTTAAGTTATTTACCCAACACCACACTAAAATTCAGGGGCAGAGCTGAGGCTCAAACGCAAGCAGCCTGCTCCACGGCCTTACTAGGCCTGGTCACACCAACTACACCTCTAATCCCATCTTTGCTTTTGCAGATTTTTGGCTCCAGAAAGCTGAGGCTAAATTTTGAATCCGACATTAGACAACGGTCACGGGAAGAGCAGCTCTGGGCACATTTGACCCTGTAGGGACAGCTCTGCCTGAGACCATGGTGCTTTCAGTGTCTTAAAGAGGTACACTGAAGTACAAGTAGGAAGAATGAACACAAATCAAAATGGCACCAAAATTCTAAAGAACAGTTAAAGCTGATGGCATATATAAAATAAAAATTGGGTGAAAGCAAAGTAAGAACTAAGGCTGTGACCAACTATATAACTAATAAAAGAGTGGCTAGGGAAAAATTCTGGGGCCCAACAAGCATTAGATTATAACAGAGAGACACCAGCAAAAATGTAGCAATGGCAAGGTCTAAAGCGTCGGTGACTCCTTTAGAAAATCCTTTTATCTAAATGCTTCTGTGTGATACCCAGGAGCCAAACAGTTGTAAAATAGGCGAACCGTAAAGTAACAAGAGGTAACGTCACGTTTCAGTGACTTGTTGAAGGAGCCATCAGGACATGCTGCTTCTCAGGGAGGGGAGGATCAAGTTTTAAAAAGATCTTAGGGAAGATTTTTGAAATCCTTTAGAACATTTTACATACCAAAATAAACAGGAATAATTCATATCCGACCAAAATATTAGAACTATTATGAGATTTGAGCATTTCTAAAACATTCTTTTGGCTTTCTCATTAAAATAATGAGGCGACTGCCCAACAGAAGTGGGACGGCCAGCTGTTGCCGGGACATAATCAACTGCCGCTAAGATTCCCAGGTGCTAAGCAAAGGGGCTCAGGCCACTCAGCAGTTACTCTCTAAAAGACTTGAATTTCAGTTAAGAGGCTCACTTCACAAAAAAGAGAAAGACACAATGTTCCCCTTAGGGTTTGTTTAGAAGTCACAACAGTTTTTAGTTCCACATTATTGATCTATAAGTGATCAGGTGGACACAGTTTAGGTCAGGCATCCTCAAACTACGGCCTGCGGGCCACATGCAGCCCGCCTAGGATATTTATCCCGCCCGCCAGGTGTTTTTATCACCGCTGCCTGTCCTGCTTAGCAGCCAACTCGTCCCAGGGCCTGCAGTCCAGCCCTCCAACAGTCTGAGGGACAGTGAACTGGCCCCCTGTTTAAAAAGTTTGAGGACTCCTGGTAGGTACTGGCAGAGTAAACAAGATCTCTGAAACCCATGTTCCAAAAATGGATATACAGATTTACAGGGGAATAGAAATACCTAAAAAGGTCTAGGTCTAAGGTGATACCTAGAAATATATATTTTAAGAACGTAACCAAGGTTTCTGAGGCAGCCACTCCACAGGCCTACAGCAGAGAACTGCTACACTAGACCAGGGGCCTTTCAGAAAAAAATTTAACTCGCCAATTGAAAGCCTTATATAGAACCTTATAAAGCTGGATCAGATAAAATGGAACTGCATTAGTTAAAGCAGAGAATGGATTGGGGGAGGTAGGGTGAAACCCCACCAGTGTACCCTGCTCAGTAAATACAATTTGAAAATTGAGCCACACCTCACCAACCTATATATAAACCACTATAAAATGGTACTTACTCAGTTTTTGGAAGAAAGGGCTACAACTGTTGAACTGGTCAAAATATTTAACATACTGTTAAAGCAGCTACTGTCAAGAAAATTGTCACAAGGTTTTCAAAGAGACACTGAGAAAAATTTTTTTAAGGTAATGAACAGAAAATGAGTGAGCCTTGGGCTATTAATGGAAACGCAACTAGCATTTAGAGACAGACCTCAGTGATCTAGTCCTATTGTATCTCTAAGTGTATTCTGTGAAAGCTAGTTTCTAAAATTACTATGTAGGGGGGAAACTGCTTAACTATAGTGTAAACAGAATTAGCTTCTTTCTTCAACTCCTTCACCATGCTGATAAGTGATCTGTAGCTCAACAGGAAAGTTTTATTCTTAAACAAGGTACCTCGGAAACCTTCAAGCTTGCTCTATCTTTACTTTGGCTGCCTCAGCTAACCTCTGCGATGATAGTTGTTTTTATCATAGTCATCAGTGAATCTCTTCAGGACAAGTTGTCCTTTCACTAAGTGTGATCATTCTTCCCAAGCAAACGCTACTCTTCCCTGAGTAGCAAAGAAAAGTGAAAGATTTGGAGAAGTTACCTGTAATGGCTCTTGAAGAAAATCACTTTGACTGGACAGATTTTGTTCTGTAGATGCTGCAGAGAGTGAAATAAACAGTTAGTTGTTGACGGGGAGAGAAGTTTATGCATACCAACTGGAAGGAGACCGAAGTTGACACTTTACCAAAAAAGGCATTAGCTGGAAGGCTGGGTCTCAAAGCCATCATGCTGTATCAGAACTTTAAAAAGAAGTAAACTGTAGAAGATTAAAGAATACCAGTCCCATCTGTGACATACAATGATGTTTAAAGATTAAACAGCAGAGTTTCAAGACTTCCAAAACAAAATGACTTTTAGGAATAACTTGTAATAGTAATTAACTGATAAGTTTCACGAATTTCAAACTAAATCTTAGCTGGACCATCTGTTTAGATATTTTCCTATGGACCGAGGGTGCAAAAAAATGTATACACATTTTAAGGGGGAAAAAACCGTATTAAATTTGTAATACTTAAGTCGCATTTGACTTCTGCAATCATGAGAGTGACTTGTAATTGCAGAATGTTGAATTACAACATGACTTGTACTCATGTTTTGCAATCAGTATATACTGAAGGAATATAGTTTTTTCCTTTCCTAAAATGTGTATACATATTTTCAGCACCCTTTGTATATTAATAATCTTTGGATTATACAGTTTCAGTTTGCATCTTCTTCTTAACATCCATCACTGTGTTAACTACTCTCCATTCGTTCTTACTTCACCTAGGAATTATTGCATGACCTTCGAGTTGGTGCATATTGCCCATTATAGCCGGACAATGGCTGTATGTCATGCCTCATCTGAAAAGAATTAGCTTGGAGCAGAAAGCCTACGTTTTGAAGCATGAGACCAGATCCAAATGTAGGCTCCATCACTGGGTTAATCACTGTTCTACACATCACTGAGGCAACCTCACTCACAGTCAGGATCCAAAAGCCTCAATACTAGATTTAGGGTCCAAAGGGGTGAAGCAAGTTCTAGTCAGAATTCACAGAAAACCCAGCAAAAATAGCTACTGGTCATTTCTGTTCACCTATCCAGAGACTCTACAAAAA